AATTGTACTGAGAATGATTAACATACACAGATGAGAGAATAAGAAAAAAAATTAATAATAGTTAAATATGACAAAATGTTACAACTTTTAACATTTAAGCATACTGTATACCAGATAAAAAGTCTTTTCATCCATTCTTTTAACTGTTTAGTGAATACCTAACAGTCAGTTAACTAACTTCTGTCTCCTTTTTTCCATAATTTTTTGGACTGTCCTGGGAGATTTTAGTTTACATCTTTTCTGTGGACCTGTATTAGTATATTTTAAATGTTCTCCTCTGGTATGTTAAATTATTGAAACCCCAATACTACTTACTTTAGATTTCTTATACCCCATAAATGCCTTTAAAATCTAAATAGCTAAAACCTATCAAATGTTTACTTACTGTAATGTTTAAACATGGGGTCACAGTACATATGTGACTTCCTATTGCAGGGGTTGGCAAATTTGTTCTGTAAATATTTTAGGCTTTGTGGGCTAAATGGTCTCTATTCACAACTACTCATCTCTGGCGACATAGTGCAAAAGCAGCCATAGACAATACGCAAACCGATGACGGCAGCTGGGTCCCAAAAGACTTTATTTACAAAAACAGGCCACAGTGTGCTGACCTCTGTCCTGTTGGAAGGAATGGAAAGTATAGAACAGGACACCGGCAAGACAAGAGATTAGATGTGAAAATGATCAGTCCTTTGATTCCATACTACTAAATAGTCACACCAAGGTCTCTTATAAGGTACCTGAAACCACCTCCTAAGCTGCCCATATTTATCTTAGAATAGCAGTTCTCCCTTTAAATAGGAGTCTAAAATCAACAAGTGTAAACCGTAGAAGTGAACTTGTATTAGGAGAATAATGCAAATAGCCAGCAAACATGAATGCCCACATTTTCTCACTGTGTTTTATAGGACCAAATTTCTACAAACTTTTACTTAGCTCCTTTAAAAAAATATAAAATAAAAGGATGCCACATTCACAGATTACTCAACGTTAAGTACTCTGGGACGGATAGTGAGCTACTGTAAATTACTACCTTCTCTGTGATCGCTGTGGCCTGGAAATTGGCACTTGCTAGAGTCGAACCTTGGAGACAATCTAAAGAGTTAAGGGCCAGTTCCCTCCCTAAAGTGAAATCAATTTACACGACACAGATTCCCACAATCCCCACATTGGAGGAACTAATTTTTTAACAGACCATTTCACGAATAACAGAGTCTTTGTGCCACCAAATAAAAAACTTTGGAGATTGTCGAAAACATCTGTTCTGAGACGTTACTGTCAAACTCTGTTCTTGGAGAGGGAGGAAGCTGCATTGTCTTCCGATAGCTTTGATGGTTTCATAAAAGTCTCCAGTGAGAGAACGGTTCCATCTGCAGGCCCCTGAAACTCCCAGGAACGAATTCAACACCGATGACATGCTCGCCGGTCACAGTTCAAATACATTTAAGGTCACATTTAAAAAGCAAAGATGGACGCTATATTTCATGATGTGCGTCTAAAATTCTGTTTCATGATTAATATTTCGAAATAACCGACATCCCTTTTGTGTGTGTCCCTCAAGATAATCACCGTGATTTACCTCGCGAGGGATAAAGTGTTAAGCACAGCTAAGAGGCTCCAAATCCTCCCTTTGGCATCCAAGTTTCACGTGCAGCCTGTATGACGCTGATGGGGCTGCACTACAACACGCTGCCCCTTACTCAGAGGGAAAAGTCACGTGTCAGAAATGGAAAAAGGAAACAAATTTTGCTACTTAAGAAGCAAGAGCAACAATGCTGAGATGTGTAGAAATTAGAGGGAGCGTTAGAGGTGGTCGAATTTGGGTGTGTTGAGTTTGCTACTGGCTGGGGAGTTATGGTCAGTGGTCAGCGGAAGCCCGTCCTGCCTGGCAGCGAAGATTTGTGCTCCGCTGGTCCCCACCACCCTGGCAATGAGCACGGCCTGCTGGAAATCCTCTTTTACAGCTACGGTTTTTACTGTCCGCCATCCCTTCAGCACAGGGGTCTACTTTATGTGTGAAAATAAAAAGAAATGGAATGAGAGCTGACGCCTGCAGTGTCCATCTGTGGGCCCGTAACTCAAGTGAACAACAACATTCTACTGATGTCGCCTCCGTTACTGGCAGCGGAAAAACACTGCAGAAAGCAGCCTCAAATGGTAAAACAGAAAAGAAAGCAAGAGCTACAAAAATGGCGCCAGAACACCAAAGCAACCTAAGCTAACCAAAGCTGACGTGGGTAAAAGGCTAAGAAAAGGGAAGCTGGGAATGTTGAAGATGCCGTGAAGGGGAGACACTGGGTCTATGTAGTACCTCCAACAACATACTACACATGGCACACAGTAGGTGCTTACTAAACAGTGTATGAATGAATGCACCAATAAACAGACTTTTCTTCTTTCTTCTCTTTCAGAGACAGGCCGTAGACATCAAGTTAGATGGTTTCAGGTCAGTTGCATGAATACAGCCTAAAACAAATCCACCTTACTCAAAAACCTAAGTGCTCTTAGTTCTTAGTTCAAGAACCTAAGTGTTCCACAAACGCTTGCAAAATAAATGAATAAATAAACACATAATTGCTATTTAATCTCTAATCACCAAGCCCAGCCTCCTCTGCCTGGGCTGTTAAGTCCTTCCACGATTCGGCTCCTCTCAGCATATGCAAACATTTCCCCACCATCTGTGCAACCAATACTAATTCTCTGCCTTTTGCCTTTGCTCACTCTCTTTTCTCAGTCTGTGCAAAACTGTGGGTCCTCTCAGTGACATTCCAAGTTCTGTTCATGACTGTCTTCCTCTTTTATTCTATTAAATACTTCTTCGCCCACTCTCTCAACTCTCCTGGGGGACCTCCTCCACCATCTTGACTTCAAGGACTACCTATAAGGTGATAACATACCAACACTCTACTCTAGCCTGATCTCTCCTGAATTCCACACTTGTCCATCCAATACCCGTGCACATCTTTTTTATTAATTTTATTTTAGCATATTAAGGGGGTACAAGTGTTAAGGTTACACATATTGCTCATGCCCCCCTCCCCACTTGAGTAAGAGCTTAAAGCGTGTCCATCCCCCAAATGTCCTGTGCACATCTTTGATGGCTCTCCACAAAGACCTCAAAATTGACACATGCAAAACTAAACTCATCTTTTTACTTCCTGAATCAAGCAGCCACCTAAGTCAGAAGTCTAGGTGGTCATCCTTGACTCTTTTTCCTAATCCCTCACATCTAAATGGTATCAATTTCAATCCTCTTCCTTCTACCACATCAATCAGTTCCTTTCCATCTCCACTGCTACTGCATATTCCCAACCATAGCATCTCTCACTTTGGCCAGTTTTCCTAGTTGACTGCCTTGCCTCTAGACTTCCATTGCAGGAAACCATTCTCTAAACCACTGCTTAAAATTAAAATCTAATCATATTTCAATACAGGATAATTTGCACAGGATTTATCTACAGTGGGACTATTGGTAAGGGTGTGGGAAGGCTGCAGAGGAACCACAGTGATAACCTGGGGAGGTATTAGAGAGGATGTCATTACTACTGGCCTGAAGGGACAAGGGGAGGAACTAGTTACTGGAAAGAGAAAGTGGATAAATACTATGGCTTTGAGAAGGGGAGATGCAGTTGGCCTCAGGTGATCTTTCAGGGGAGGAAGACAACAGAGTAAAGAATTGACTTCACTTTCTTCCTGCCCATCTCTGGCTGGGGCTATCTATCCAGTGGATGAACCCACCTGGAAACCAAAGGGTGTGAGAGTCTGCTGACTTAGCCGTACAGGTTAGCCTCTGGGGCAGAGCAGAGTAGGGGTAGTAGAGAGTAGATTTGCGGGACAGGCGGCACATGGGAGATATGTACACAGGCCCTCCAAGATCTGGCTCTTACTCTCCTCTTATCATGCTAAAACCCATCTAGATCCATCCTCAGTGAACTATGCCTCTTCTCATACTGAACTCACTGTACAACATACCTCTATTCCCAGATCTGGCCAATCTGTTTATCTTCCAAAATCAACTCACTTATCTACTCTATTAAAAAAAAATCTTATTCCAGGTATATAATTGACCAAATTCTCCTTAGTGATCTTGTTATCTACAGATTTTTATCTATGCATGAATAGTATTTTATTGTCCTTATTTGTTTACTTTTCATCTTTGTAAACTAAACAGTAACCTCTCTAAAGAAAGCAGGGGATACATCAATCACCTTTTTATTCCCAGTGCCCAATACTGGGCACAACACATAGTAGGCACCTAACAAACGATGCCTGAATGAGGCAAGGAATTTTAAGCATCAGCTCGAGTCCAATATCATCTGTGATGCTTTCCCTGACAACTTTAGCCCACATTTATTACCAGAGCTTAATGTTTAATTATTCCCTACTTATCGCACCTGCTTTTATACCACTTTCTACCATTTTTTTTTATGCCTCAGAGCCCTGACAACAGGAATTATGCTGTTTCTCTGATAGCAGAGTTTGAGTCCATACTAGAAACTTAATAAATGCTTTCTTTGAAGAATAGGCATTTAGAGCAGGAGAAACATATATTTTGGGAAGCCTCAAACTTAAATATTTATAGGACCAGAAAGTCTTGTAAATTGGAAAAGCTGGTAAAAAGATGGAGATAGTGACCTCAGAGCCCTAGCACCTGTTGATTTCCAGCGGCAGGAAATCTGGATTTTTATGTACATGCATCCAACTTTTAATGGTTTTAATAGTTGGCTCAAATAAAAAGTTTCACCTAGTTCAAGGACCACTCTGCATTTCTGAGAGAGAGAGGAGGGCATAGGTGTGGTTTGACCAAGGTCTTATAACATAACTGATCTCGTTGGTGCTGTATGTGAGTGGGTAAATGTTGTTCAAGAAATGTTCAAGAAATTTGGGTGGGAAGTCTAGGCTCTGGGAACCCTTCATTTGAAACCATGGACCTGAAGTGCAGGGCCTCTGTTTATAGCTCTTAAGGATAAGTGTTATCAGCAAGCTCATTTAAGACTTACACAGTTGATAGGGCTCTGCCTGGGTGCCTCTGGGCTCCTTCTACTTCTACTGGCCTGCCAAAAAAAAAAAAAAAAAAAAAAACCAACAACAAAAAACAGTCATAAAGGGTGGGAAATCCTGCCTACTCTAAAGGCCAGAATGTGTTCAATGCCAGCACTGACGAAGAATTATAAGAGAGGATCATGTACCAAATGACCAATTTCTTAAGAAAGAGACTCTGGCAGATTTGGAGAGACAAAATAGAAAAGAAAAAGCCTGACCCTCTGGACCACAGTCACCTCAGGACCATTCTTTACAGGGAGCTTCACACGCATCACCTCATTCAACAATCCATGGAGATGGGCAGGGACTACTAGAGATTTCACCAAGGAGGAAACTGAAGCCTGCAGACATGAAGGAATCTGCCTTTGGTTAGAGCAAGGCAGGAGCAAATCCATAGTAGTAACTTACGTTCTGACCCCAAATCCACCTTATTATGCAGCTTCCGAAACCCACCAACACCTCCTTGGGATGAGAACAACAACATGGTCTACAGCCATACCACCCTGAATGTGCCCTGATCTCATCTCATCTCAGAAGCTAAGCAGAGTCAGGCCTGGTTAGTTCTTGTATGGGAGAATAACAGGATGAGGAGCTGGACAAACCTTGTCTATTATTGAAAGAAATACTAAAATTGGTAGAAAGAAGGGTCATTTACTATTTATATATGCAACGAACCCTTCTTTGACAGAGTTTGGAGGGCTGTTCAGACTGTTTCATTTAACCCCCCAAATGACCCTGGCAATCGGTTAAATGATAAAGCATATCTTCATTAAGTATAACCGAGGGTGAATTTCCATGGTGTCCCTGGGAATTCACCCCATCCTGTGGAATCAGAACCCAGCCACCCTTTTATAATGTCTGGCCCTGTAACTGGCAGCTTGGATGGAGCAGCTGCTTCTATTAAGGATCAAAGAACTACATTAAGAAAAAAGTCAAGGTTCGAATACATAAAAAGCAATTTTATTTGAGGTAGAATCCTTCTGGAGAAATATAAAATGATTAAGAGCAAAAATTAAACTTTCATTTTTATATGTAGAATTTTAAGTCATTTGGTTTGAAAAGTGAAGAGGAAAACAAAGGTGAATAGAAAACAGAGAGCAGGGAAGAGAAAATGGGGAGAAAGGGAAATATAGAAACAGATTTTTAAAAAAGACAATAGGAGATAGAAAGCAACCCAAGAAAAAAACATTTATACAGATAAACATGATTTCAACTCAGAACAAAAAATAAAATTAAAAAAGAAGGTCACAGCAACAAAGATGGACAAAAGATGGATGTACATACACAACACAGACTTTAAAGCTACGCTGTCATTTTACAACCACAGGCAGAAGTGAAGGCAGGCTGTGTACAATCACAGTTGAGGTCTAGGAGCTTTAAATCCTATGGTTCTTATGCTTCTCTTCCATGGCTTATGGAAGTATTTAAAAAGGAACAAGGAAAGCCAAACTGCGTGTCCAAAGTGTGAGGAGGGTGAGGAAAACACTCAAGAATTTTAACATTCCACCATTATTTCTCTATTGAAACCTGACCCCATTCTTGGCTTCTTATTCGCTCCCTTTCCCGTAGCCCAACAGTAAACTCCCACACACCAGTGGGACCACAGAGGAGAGACAATAATACGAGCAGCTGCTCAAGCTGTGGTTTTCATTAGGAAAAAAAGTGCCTTGATTACAAGAGATTTAGTTTTTAACCTTGGTGCCAAAACGGAGTGATTAAAACTCCATGTCCAGAAACGCGAATGGTTTCTTAAATGTATGCAGCAGAGCAGACACAGCTTTATCAAAGGCGGGTGGAAGGACAGTCCAAATTCTAACACCCACCATGGCTTGGTGCACTCACTTTAATATGGGAAAGCTAGCAGACACAGAAAATAAAAACACAGTGTGGAGGTCCCTGCACTGCATTTCTGCAAAGGTTAGAGATACGTTTTCACCAAATTCTTCTAGCTACAAATAGCAAGGCAATCAAGCTGTCAAAAGACATGGGGGAAACTCAAATGCGTATTGCTAAGTGGAGGACGCCAATCTGAAAAAGTTATACAATGTATGATTCCAACTGTATGACATACCTAGAAAAGGCAAAACTATGGAGATAATAAAATGATCAGTGGTTGCCTGGGATAAGAGTGGAGGGAGGCATGAATAGGTGGAACACAGAGGTTGTTTTTAAGGCAGTGAAAATAATCTGTATGTTACTGTAATGGTAGGTACCTGTAATTATACATTTGTCTAAACCCATAGGATGTATAACAGTGAGAATGAACCCTAATGGAAACGATGGACTTCCGTTTTGATGTGTCAGTGTAGGTTTGTGGACTGTACCAAATATGCCACTATGTGCAGGATGATGTTGGTGGTGGAGGCCTGCGTGTGTCAGGGCAGAAGGTATATGGGACATCTCTGTACCTTCCTCTCAATTTTGCTGTGAACCTAAAACTGCTCTAAAAAAAATAAAGTATTAAAAAGAAAGAAAGAAAAAAGCAAGGCAACTCCTGAAAGTCTTGCATTTGACAGAAGGCTAAGGTAGGACAGCCCCGGAGGCAGACGTGTTCTGTTCTCACAGCTCAGCACAGAGCTGTTAACTTCCAATTCAGCATGTACTCGCGGATTATCATTTTGCCTCTAGATCTTTGCACAGCAGTTAGTGCGTTAATCTCTGAGGTTCAAATCCTGGCTTTCCCTCTGTCCATGTAACTCTGGTTACAATCATAACCTGCTACACCTCGGTTTGCTTCCCAGTTCTGTAATACAGGGCAGTAATAGCAACATCAGACTTAATTAGGATGACTTAACATACACAAAGGGGTTAACACAGTAAGTGGCACATGAAAAGAGCTCAATGAACACACATATATATCAGAGAGAAGTCAAAAGTGTGGGATGAAACACATTTGTCCCCAGTGAAAAGGAGTATAATCGTGTATTATTCTGATTTTCTTACTGTTTGGGAGAAAGGTGTTAGCTCCTTCTTAGAGCTTAATCCTGAAAGAATTAAAACATCAAAAGTGTTCTAAACTCGACATAAATAAAGAAATAGCATAACTGGCAGCTGGGTAGATAGGAAGAAGAGAGGAGAGAGAAATGCAGAAGGTGTTCAGGGTGGCTTACTGCTACCTGGTTGGAGACTCCAGTTCTGGAAAAGACAGAAATTGGGAAACAAGTGTGATCTTCTCTGTGATAAGCTACTTACTAAACCTTCTGCTCAACTGAAGAGCAATTTCAATTAAAACGACTCATTCTTAAAATATAATTCCCCTAATAATATATTTGTGACCACAGTGACAGTGGCCTAGGGTCCTACACTTGTTAGGAACCAGTCAAAACTGCAGCAAAAATCAAAAGTCCACTAAAAATGAAAAGGCCCTCCATTACAGAGCGCTTATTCTTGCCAAATCTTTTTCTTTTAATTAAAAAGAGAAGGCGCAAATAGCCCTGTTGGTGTTCCGCTGACCTGCAGCTCCATTTTTGTTAAAGTGTTTAATGAAAGAGCATGCTTTCCGTCAATACATACCTTTGTCCCACTCCAAAACCAGCGAATGGTTTTCCCTTCCACCCCCTCACAAAAGAACTACTCTCCCTCCTTTTGTTTTCTTTAGTCTTTGCTGACAAAAATGCTCCTGCTCTTGCTCCCAGTCTTCCAATACTTCGTTTTCATCCAAAGGCCTCTGCTTTTATTCGCCACAGATGTAGCTTATTGAGCATTCTCTAGTGCCTTTCAGGTTCTGACCCCATTCTGTGTTAAACAGGCTGTGGTGCAAGGATGGTGCTCAGTAAAATATTCCGTCCAACAAGGGCAGTTATGTAAACAGGGCTGCTTCTGGCAGGAATGTCTGATGGGATAAACAAGGCTGAGAGAAAAAGTACTTTTGGAGAGGAGTGACTTTGTCAGGGAACAGAGATACATTCCAAATAAAAATACTCTTGTTTCTAATGTAAGATCAGGCTTTTTATAAATACAGAAGTCACTGGGAGAAATTTAAAAAGAACAATGATGACTGAGTCAGCAACTATGATTACTAATACTGTACTGAGGGCAACCACTTTTTCATTTCGTGGTTTTAACATTTTATTTCTTTAAAAAGAAAAACCAGAGACATTTTCAGGGATATCAGAAGGCTACTTTCACAATGCATAACATTTAAGAACCTATACAGATGCTGAGTGGCAATTATGGCTAATATTCCATCAATTACATAAGATACACAATCAGATAATTAGTAGGCTGATTATAAACACATCCTCATTTAGTGAGCCATTACACAGGTTTAATTCACTCTAACAGGAGTCAGTGTGAGTAATGGACAAGAACCCAACTTCGGAGCAGGCAGACCTGGGGTTGGGGTTGACTCTCGGCCTTGTCCCTTAGTAGATATGTGACATTGGGAGAAGGACATTTCTCTGGGCTTCAGTTTCCTCACATGTAAAAATGAGGACGGTGACACCTATTCCATGGGACTGTTGCAGGGATTAAATTATAAGTATAATCCTCAGCAAATGGCAATGGCAGTGTGCCCCCCACTTAATAGTAACAGGATTAATATTAATAATATTAATCACATTATTTTTTATTATCAGAATTCAATAAGAAAATTAAAAATATGGGCCAAATTCATTTTTCCCTCCCTATTTTAACTATTAGTCAAAATATTATAATTTCAAACATATTTATTTATCTATTTATTACTCTGTTCAAGGCAGCATACAAAGCTCAAAGGATATTTCAGAGGACTCAGATTACTGGGCAAAAAAATACTTAGTAATCTCTGTATTTCTTTCTCCTTCATTTACACACAGGCGTGAATTTTTTCCAATGTCTACTCAGTTTTTAAGATGTGACTGATTTAGGGTAGCGTGTTTATTTTGCATACCCTATAAATAAATTCATAAATACAAAACAATTACAGAGTTGAGAAACAGCATCACTATAGGAGATAGTGGGATGGGAACTAAATTTACGCTGGCTGGTGGTCAACACTCAGTAGGCAGAATAAATAATGCCAACAAGTCATAGCTTCTTTCAGCAATTACACTGTGTTTCCACCTAAAGTCTAGGTGAAACTTTCCAAGACTGGGTAAAGAGCACGCTAACATTATTTTCATGACTGTTATTCCTACTAGTCATTGGGAGGCAGTTTATTCTTCTAGCCTTCTGAGTCATTTCAACTTAAACAAACATCTTGTGGAATGAATGAAGTGTGTGATAAAGAAATCACCACAAGCCAAGTGGAAAAGACTACTTAGTCTTTGGTGTTGGTAAAACTGGCTCACTACAGAGAAACACTGAAGTGAAGGACAGGGAAGGACTTCAGAAACAGAATGCATAAGGCTAAACAATGCAAACTTTAAGAATTTTCTGTTCAACTAAAGATACTATGGGAAAAATTGGCAGGTGACAGAAGAGAAGATGTTTGCAAAGCCCAGAACTGAAGAGAGATGGATATTGGAAATATTTGGTGAAGTCCTAAAAAAATCAAGAAAGATACTACCACCAATACAATGCTGGGCAAAGAACGTGAACAGGCAATTTACTAAGGAGGCTATCCCTAAACACTAGCAAGCATGTGAAGAGAAGCTCAAGCAGTCAAATAAATGTAGAGTAAGAGCTAGTACTTTACACCTATTGAGATTGCAAAACTGTAAATTCCTGACGTGAGTAAGGAATCTTGTTGGATTGTGGTGGGGGTAGGGCTTGGCCAGCTGTTGTGGAGAGTGATCTGGCACCAGTTAGTCAAATTAATTCTGTATTTCTAACACCCAGCAATTCCGCTCCTGTGTATAGGTCCCAAAGAAACATTCACACAAGACAGTAAAGGGAACACGTGAGGATGTTCATTGCAGCATCATTTTTTGACGTGCATCCTTACAAACATACAGCAACAAGAATGGATATTGAAACAAAAGTGGACCTTTAAATAATGTTGAATGAAAGAAAATAATGCCAAATTAAAAAAAAGAGAT